ATACAGAATCTAATTTGGCATTGAATTATCAATTATGAGATTAATTAGGGATTATTATTTGGGGCCAAATTAACAGAAATATGGAATTATAATACTAATTGGGCCAAATTAAAGCTAAAGATAGTAAATAAATAAATATAAAAGTAAGAGTAAATAATAATAATGGGTGTGGTAGTAAAATAAATAATTAATTTATTGTTGGTATACGATAGAGTGCAATTTAATTAGGGATTAATTTATTTATATAATTATATTAGAAAACTAGGTTAAAGTGTAATTATTTTAAATGTCTGTTAAAAATAAGTATAAATTTTTATAATTTATTATTGAATCTGTCGGAAAGATTCGCGTGGGCCACGTAATGCTCACCTCCCTATTTTAAAGAAAAGGAAGAGAAGGAAAGAAAGAAAAGAAATTAGAGAGAAATGAAGGAGAAAGAAAAGATAGAAGGAAAGAAAAAATAACGAAGGCTAAGAGGGTCTTAGTAGTGGAAAGAAAGAGTAAAGTCTTACTCTTAAGGTGAATTATATTATACCTTGAGTTACCATAATATATTTTATATATGTTTTGACTTACCATATTTATTTTATATAAATTATATTTTATAAACTATTATAAATTATATAAATATTTCAGTTACATTGATTAATTTTTAAATCCTATTTGCTAAAATGAAATTCATGGATATGTTTGTTTATATTTTAAAGAATATTTGGCTATAACCTTATAAATAATTATATTTTGTAAGTACCACCACGGGAGTCCCACGCCTTGGGGGACTTAAATAACCGTTGGCTTCTGTTTGACTACTTTGTAGTCCTCTGTTTGTCATGGATCCATTGACCTCTGTTATGTACGGAGTAAAGTGATGTACGGAGCTAAGTGCTACACTATTGTGGGAGCCACCTCTAGAGTTCGTACGAGCCACCTCTTGAATCCGTACCTCTGTTCTAACTGTCACTCTTGTGACCTATGTTTTGTTCTGTTCGGTACCGTGGTTATGATTATATATTTACATAATTTCTGTATTTCAGTTTCTGTCACTTAAACGATTTGTTTACCAATGATTTATTTATCAAATTGAGTTATCTTAAATGTTTTGGCTTAACTAACTATCCATGGTTATTTCGTGTCCTTTTATACTCTTGGTATAATATTTCTCACTCTGCTATATGCTTATAGCTGTTTACCAATTTTCAGGAAACAATGCAATTCAGAAATAACTTTTGAAAAGTCTTAGACGCGGGGCTGCAAAATAAACACACACAAAACTTTTATGATATTTTTATATGCAATATCGGCCTTTTTAGTCAATAAATTTTGTATTAAAAAATAGAAACTCCAATGATTATTTTGGTACCCTCATTTAAATATTACTTCCGCTTGCGTTTATTGATTTGTTTAAGAATTGGCTGGAGGTAACCTCAGTTACTGGCCATAACGATGCTTAATCCTTGGGTATAGGGAGCAGGTCGTGACAAACGGTATCAGAGCAATGGTTTATAAAAAAATAAATAAATTATCATTGAAGCTTAGGACACACGCACATTTAAGAAGTAAGATAGCGGGTAATTAGTACCTAAATATTATATTTTGTTAGTCGATTTAATTATATTATAATTTCATATGATTTTATATATATATATATATATATATTTGTGCATAATTTGTGAAGGATATATTTGTTATAGCAAAAGAAGGGAAAAAAAAGAAGGATGTCGGACTCAAGCACCTACCAAAATTATAATATAATTAAATATATATAATTTCCAGTTCAGTATTCAAAAAAAAATTTATTTTGACTTTTAAAAGTGGGTTCAAATTATGAAGATACTAATTTTGAAACTATTTCTCATTAATGAAAAGTTTTTAAAGTCATTGATTGTTTCTCATTATGGCCCAAAACAATTTTTGACCAATAGATAGTGAGTGGTTTTTGGTAAAGTTCTTTTTTTTTTAAGGTAATATTTTCTATCAAATTAATCATCCAATATATATTTATCAGAGTGCGCAGCGGATAGCTTACATGTTTCAAATTTCGAGGATGAAATTTTAAAAGGAGGGAAGATTGTAACAATCTATATTTTTAATTATTTTGTAAAATTTATACTAATATTATTTAATTACAGTTAAAAAAATATATAATTTATTTTATATTATTATGTGTAATTTTGTGAAATAATATAATTATTATGAATTTAGGGGTCAAAGTATAAATAAATAATAATAATAATAATGAGTGTGATAGTAATAATTATTAATTAATTATGTTTATATAGTTATATTAAAATATTAAATTAAAATGTAATTATTTTAAATATCTATTAAAGATAAGTATAAATCTTTCTAATTTATTATCGAATTTGTTGGAAAAATTCGCGTGAGCCACGTAATGCTCACCTCCCTATAGAGAGGAGTGATCAACTCAGACGAAAGAAAGAAAAGGATAAGAAGGAAAGAAAGAAAAGAAAGAAATAAGAGGGAAAGGAAGGAGGAAGAAAAGAGAGAATGAAAGAAAAAATAAGGAAAGTTAAGAGGGTATTTGGTACTGGAAAGAAAAAATAAGGTATTATTCTTAAGGTGAGTTATATTATATCTTGAGTCACTATAATATATTTTATATATATTTTCACTTATCATATTTATTACATACAAGTTATGTTTTATAAACTATTATAAATTATATAAATATTTCAGTTACGTTGATTAATTTCTAAACCCTATTTGCTAAAATGAAACTCATGGATATGTCTGTTTATATTTTAAAGAATATTTGGCTATGACATTATAAACAATTATATTTTGTAAGTATTACCACAGGAATCCAACGCCTTGGGAGACTTAAATAACTATTGGCTTCAGTTTGACCTCAGTTTGTCATGAATCCATTGACCTCTGTTCTGCACGGAGCAAAGTGTTATACGGAGCTAGGTGCTACATTGCTGTAGGAGCCACCTTTAGAGTTCGTACGAGCCATCTCTTGAATCTGTACCTCTGTTCTGACTGTCACTCCTGTGACCTCTATTCTGTTCTGTTAGATACCGTGGTTATGGTTATATATTTACATAATTTCTGTATTTCAGTTTCTGCCACTTAAATGATTTGTTTACTAATGATTTATTTACCAAACTGAGTTATCTTAAATGTTTTGGTTTAACTAACTATCCATGGTTATTTCGTATCCCTTATACTCTTGATATAATATTTCTCATTCTGCCATGTGCTTATAGTTGTTTACTAATTTTCAGGAAACAATGCAATTCATAAATAGTTTTTTGAAAGTCTTAGACGAGGGGCTGAGGAATAGACACACACAGCGTGAGAGGGGAGATTTGCACCGAACTGTACGGCCGAGCTGAGATAACGTCAGACGTGACGGACTGCGTAGTGCCGAGGTAATCTCTGTTGACATGGCCAGCAGCCTGCCTTGCACGGTCGGAAATATTGACCGGTCAGGCAGGCCGGTGCACCTTGGACCGGTCAGTCGATATAAAGTGGTTTCGTGCGACGCAGATTGAAGGTAGACCGGTTGGAGGCCGGCATGACTCGCAACCGGATGGTCATGATGAACCGATCAATGATAGTTCAGCCGAGGTGGGCAGGCTTTCGCCTGATTCCAGGTTATAGGTCGGCGACACATAGCTCGGTTATGAGCATGTAATAGCGACTTTCCACAAGTGACAGGCCGGTCGTAGTACTCCGGTTAAGTATGCCATCTGGGCCAATGGTGTGAAGGAGAGGACATCCGCTCCACGCACGCTACTGATACCGTTGGGCAGTTCTGTGTGTACTGGAGGGAGGACTAAGCCTTTACACGCGTAAGGTGGTGAGAGGCGAGCACTGCCACCTGTCTAGGGAAGGACAGCAGAGGTAGTGCGCGCACAATCTTGAGGCTGCATGGCCAGCCTAGAAATATGGAGGAAGTGGGACGTTGGAGGTAAGCGAATTCATCCCATCAAAAACTCTCTCTCCAATAACCTTCTTCTTTAGCTAGTGGTCTGACTTGATCGTCGGAGGGTTTTTCCGGCACACCACCGCCGGGCTACTCACCATTTTCGTGTTGCAGAGATAGACGTCGTCACAAGCAGCTTGAAGATCAAGGAGTACGGAAAACAGAGGATATTTCGCCCCCGTACAATTGGCGCCGTCTGTGGGAAGTTTTTTGATACTCAACCCTTGTTCTTAGAGCTTCTTCGACCATTTCCATGGCCAATAACGGCGAAGCCCCTCTGTCCATCGTCGATGGCGTCACCCCTGAGTACGTCCGCTTGAGAGAAGGTCCTCTGAATATTCCAGCCATGGCAGGCCTAGAAACTCCTTCGCGGAGTGCGCGAGACAAACGCGGAAGGAGTGCCGATCGCTCGCAGAGTCCTGGGGGCCGCAGACACCGGGGGGAGTTCCATGCACAGCGCTTGGAGCACAAACTCAAGGACCAAGACGCCGTCATTCGCAAAATGGCGGCGGAGATGGAGCTGCTGAAATGCCAGATCAAAGGGAAGGGTGTTTCTGGAGAGAGCAACCTCAGTGAGCGCACCCCGTCCCCTCGTTGGAGCAGTCGCCGCTAGGGAAGGACCCACTCTCTCTCCATCATCAGGAACTATGGGGTTGGGGGCTCCAACCAAGGGGAGAGCAAGTCCCTCTCTCGCGACAACACATACCGCCCCTCACGCCCGACGCCGGCGTCGGGATCCTCTTTCTCCACACGTTCCAGGGACTTGAGGGATGTATTGGAAGAGAGGATGCGCTGTCGGGAGGCTCGAAGAGTGCCGGCATTGCAGAGGTTAAGCGCTCCAGTGCATTACAGTGAGGAAGTGGCGATGCCAGCCCCCAAAGTAATGGCCCCTGCGCTGGAGGACAAAGAGCTGGCGCGACTTACAGCCACACCGCTGTCTCCAGAGATTGAGAGTACGCCACTCCCCGCCGGATTCCACCAGCCAAAGTTCACTTTGTACGACGGCAAAACGGATCCGTACATGCACGTGAGTCATTATCGGCAGGTGATGGCTGGCCACCGGCGCAACGACGCTCTGATGTGTCTCATATTCCCAGCAAGCTTGGGAGAGCTGGGTCTGAAGTGGTTTGAAAGGCTCCCGGAGGGGAGTATAGAGGGGTGGCAACAGCTAGCAGAAGCCTTCGTCACCAGATTCAAGACCAACACTCGAACGCCGAAGGAGGTCGACCATCTCCTGGGCGTCAAGATGGAGTCTGGGTGTTCGTTGAAGGCATATAATGCGAAGTACTGGAAAACTTACAATGAAATCCTCGACTGCCCCACCAACCTGGCGATCACTCAGTACAAACGGGGTCTCCCAGTCGGACATAGGTTACGAGATTCGCTCACGATGCATCAACCTACAACCATGGAGTCATTGATGCAGCGGATCAATGAGCACATTCGTGTGGAGGATGATACCGCCTCCGCGACCGAGAAGGTTAATCCTGTTGCGGCGGACAGGAGGGTCGTGGGGAAAGTTCACTCGGTTGGGCAGGAGGATAGCTGCCCAAACAACTGGTCGAAAGACCAGTGCCATGCTCCAAACCGTGATGACAGAAACAAGGGGCGCCGAAACGACTAGGCATACCCTCCCCGTGATACAGCGGAGGACGCCAAAAGAAAATTGAAGGCACGAACTGGGATCACCACGGTGTTTAAAATCCCCATCTATCGCATTTTGAGCGAGATTCGAAGCGAACCCTTCATCCGTTGGCCGGCCAAGTTGGGGAGTGCCCATAGAGGCTTCAATTCAAAACATCGCTGCACCTTTCATGAAGAACGAAGGCACTGAACAGAGGACTGCCTGCCGCTCAAACAACATTTAGAGGAGTTGGTGGCGGCGGGGCATTTTGACCAATACATAGATGGGGGCATCAAGGCCACGCCAGCAGACCAAGTCGAGCCAAACGGCCTGGCCGCCCTAGAAGCGCCCCCACAAGGTGTAATCAACGTCATCCATGGAATCATTGGACCGGCCAGGGTTTGCGAGCTGAGGGAGATGATCAAGAAGGCTGAGCACATGAGGGAAGTGCTCTCTGTTCAGCCCGCTGTGAAGAAAGGAAAGACCGAAGAAAGGGACATCCTTTCATTCTCAACCAAGGACTTGGAAAGAGTTCAGATACCGCATAATGATGCCTTAGTAGTCACTCTTCATGTCAAGGACTTTGATATCAAGAGAATCATGATCGACCAGGGGAGTTCGGTCGAAATCATGTATTATGACGCGTTCAAACAGATGAAGTTAGAAGACAAGGACTTGGCCCCTGCGACGTCTCCTTTGGTCAGCTTCAACTCACAACCGGAATGGCCAATCGGAAAGATTATTTTGCCGGTCAAAGCGGGTTCAGTAGTAAAGCAAGTGGAGTTCTGGGTGCTCAAAGTTCCATCCACCTACAACTTGATCTTAGGAAGGGGCTGGCTGCACGCCATGCAAGCAGTTGCCTCGACCTTCCACCAAGTCATGCGCTTTCCGGCATCGAGTGGGCAAATAGAGGAAGTTTGGGGAGACCAGGTGATGGCAAAACAATGCTTCGTTGCGGTAAATGGCAGCCGAGCAGCCAAAGGGTTTGTCCAAATGATCGAGGGGCCCGAGGAAAAAGAGGTCCTTGAAGACGTGGGAATGAAGGCCGAGGAAAAATCGGTCGAAGATTTGGTGGAAGTGCGTATTGACGAGAACGATCCAACTAAATTCTTCCTCTTGGGATCATCCTTGTCTAGCGCCGAGCAAGCGGATTATGTCAACTTCTTGGTTTCCAATTTAGAGACCGCCCCTCACGCCTGACGCCGACGACGGGATCCTCTTTCTCCACATGTTCCAGGGACTTGATGGATGTATTGGAAGAGAGGGCGCGCTGTCGGGAGGCTCGAAGAGTGCCGGCATTGCAGAGGTTAAGCGCTCCAGTGCGTTACAGTGAGGAAGTGGCGATGCCAGCCCCCAAAGTGCTGGCCCCTGCGCTGGAGAACAAAGAGCTGGCGCGAGTTACAGCCACACCGCTGTCTCCAGAGATTGAGAGTACGCCACTCCCCGCCGGATTCCACCAGCCAAAGTTCACTTTGTACGACGGCAACATGATGACGTAACACCACAGTGATGACTTGAAGTAAGTGGTCATTCGATTTTGGGTTGATAGCTTGAGGATATTTTGCTGCCAATGCCTAGAGTTTTGTATCAAGACTTGTAAATTTATTTTGTTGTTGGCTTGTACGCCTTTTGGGCTTTTCTCTTTTGTAATGTCATCTAGTTCATTGAACTTGGGAAGGAGTTTAAAGTATCTTGGGGATGAAACTTTGAAATTGTAATTTCCTAAATTTTAGTTCAATGAGAAAGATGATTTTGGTATATTGCTATACTTGTTGCGGTGTATTCATGTAAGAAATGACAGGGCATTACAACCAAGCTCTAGTCACCTTCAACAGATCTTGAACTATGGAAGTGAAGAGCAGATTCCTCCTTATTCAGGGAAAGCTAGTACAGCCTAGGAAACAGATCTATAAGGTACCCATCCCCAAGCCAAGAATCAGTCCAAAAAAAGGCATCTTGCTCCATTGCCTAATTGGATACAATCATGTAAATAATTTTATGGTGTTATGCATGCATATAACAACCTTCATAATCCAAGTCTTAAATTTTATACTAGTATTATGGTTGTATGTGATAATATATTATTACATAAATAATAATAATAATAATTATAATGGATGTGGTAGTAAAATAAATAATTAATTTTCTGTTAGTATACGATAAAGTATAATTTAATTATTGATTAATTATGCTTATATAATTATGTTAAAATATTAAATCAAAGTGTAATTATTTAAATATTTATTAAAGATAAATATAAATTTTTATAATTTACTATCGAATCTGTTGGAAAGATTCGCGTGGGCCACGTAATGCTCACCTCCCTATCGAGAGGAGTGGTCAACTCAGACGAAAGAAAGAAAAGGAAAAGAAGGAAAGAAAGAAAAGAAAGAAATAAGAGGGAAAGGAAGGAGAAAGAAAAGAGAGAATAAAAGAAAAAATAAGGAAAGTTAAGAGGGTATTTGGTAGTGGAAAGAAAAAGATAAGGTATTATTCTTAAGGTGAATTATATTATATCTTGAGTCACTATAATATATTTTATATATATTTTCACTTATCATATTTATTACATACAAGTTATGTTTTATAAACTATTATAAATTATATAAATATTTCAGTTACGTTGATTAATTTCTAAACCCTATTTGCTAAAATGAAACTCATGGATATGTCTGTTTATATTTTAAAGAATATTTGGCTATGATAGTATAAATAATTATATTTTGTAAGTACCACCACAGGAGTCCAACGCCTTGGGAGACTTAAATAACTATTGGCCTCTGTTTGACCTCAGTTTGTCATGGATCCATTGACCTCTGTTCTGTACGGAGCAAAGTGTTATACGGAGCTAGGTGCTACATTGCTGTAGGAGCCACCTTTAGAGTTCGTACGAGCCACCTCTTGAATTCGTACCTCTGTTCTGACTGTCACTCCTGTGACCTCTATTCTGTTCTGTTCGATACCGTGGTTATGGTTATATATTTACATAATTTCTGTATTTCAGTTTCTGCCACTTAAATGATTTGTTTACCAATAATTTATTTACCAAACTGAGTTATCTTAAATGTTTTGGTTTAACTAACTATCCATGGTTATTTCGTATCCCTTATACTCTTGATATAATATTTCTCATTCTGCCATGTGCTTATAGTTGTTTACTAATTTTCAAGAAACAATGCAATTCATAAATAGTTTTTTGAAAGTCTTAGACGAGGGGTTGAGGAATAGACACACAAAGCGTTTTTATGATATTTTTATATGTAAATATCGGCATTTTTAGTTAATAAATTTTGTAATAAAAAATAGAAGTTTCAATGATTATTTTGGTACCTTCATTTAAATATTACTTCCGTTTGCGTTTATTGATTTATTTAAGAATTGACCGGAGATAATCTCAATTATTGACTATCACGATACTTAACTTTTGAATACGGGAAGCAAATCATGACATTTAGGTAAAATTTTATGCCATTAAGGGTTGGTTTGGGGTGTACTAAAAAGGTGCACTTTTTGTCTTTTTACGAAAAGATGTGCAGAAAAGTAGAGAGGTGATGTGATGAAAAAAAGATAAAAAGATGAATTATATAGTAGATGACAAACAAGGCCTAAATGACACTTTTATGACGGTGTCAAAAAGTACAACTAGGTTGACCCCACCACATATTTTCCTTTTGTAGTTAAATGGCATTTTTTAGTAAATGACATTACAACTTATATTTAGTGCATTTTTTTAAAATATAACATAAAAGAATTTTGATTTATTTGTGGTTAAGTGACATTTTATTATGAAATGTCATTAGAATGAATTTTTATATCATTTTTATTAAAAATGACACTGGCATGGTGCCATTAAATAAAGTTTTTGTTGGAATGGAATGTGAGATTTAAAGAAGATGGATGGATGGTGATAGAAATATGTACTTTCATAAATCTTAACTCATGATATAATGAATGTATGAACTTAATTATGAAATAAAATATTTTAAAATTATTGATACATTTTTTAATAATTTCATAGCGCTTTTTTTCTTTTCTTTTTTTCTCACTCCACTCAAATTTTCACTTAAAATTTAGAAAAAGGTTTAGGACTCTTAGGGCTAGTTTGGCATGTACTAAATAAGCTAAAAAGTCAAAAAGTCACTATCTTATTTAAGTCACATCATCTTATTTAAATCATATCACCTCTCTAATATATTACATCAAATCCAACCCAAACCCACCAATAAATCAAAAAGTGCACTTTTTTAGAACATCCCAAACCGACCCTTAATTTAGAGACCTCACGGCCCATAAATGCGTGTAATTGATCAACGTCTATATTTAGTTTTTTTATTTATTATTTTCCCTCTCTACCATGTGGGGTTATAAGGTGATTTTTTTTTTTTTTTTTTTTTTTTTTTTTTGGAGGATTTCAGTCATTGCTTTTAAACCCTTTTACATCGTACAAACCACAATCATTGCGGGTGTCAAACACGCGCCATAAGCGCAATTACCGAACCACTCTCTCCGTACGCGCGCCAGCTCTCGGACTGCATCGCCTGGGGCGTAGCCGGCGCGGGGTCTAATCAGCGCCTCATCGCGTACGGTAGCCTCAGGCCAGTTTCAAGCGCACCCGGCGCACTATAGCCAACTCCACACTTATTTTATTTCCATTCTTCGAACAAATGTGCATAATATATACACATGAGCTGTGTACCTTAACCGCCTGTTTCTGGTACATTCTCTGCAACAAGCAACACCCCCCTAAACCCCTTAACATTCTTTCTTTCTACTCTCCCTCCTCTTTTTCAGAACCCTCACTCTTTCTCTCTCTAAAATCCCCTCTCCGACGACGGTTCCGGCCTAATGAGGTTCCGTGAAGGTATTTTCTCTTGCCTCTTTCCATATTATTTTCTTGTATTATTTTTATGTTTTTTGAGTTCAAATTTTTTTTTCAATGATTTTCAGTGTCTGTATGTTCTTGATTGGGTTTAGATATATTACTGTGTCATTTTTTTAATTAAGTGACGAAATCTAGGGAAATTCTAACATGCACACCGCACTCCTATGGTTAGTTTTGCTTTATGTTTTGTTTAATTATGATTTTTATTTTTATTATGATTCAGAAAATATAAAGATATGTGTTTATTTTTATTTATTTTTATTTTATATATATATATAGGACAAAGCAAATCATCTGCTAGCGAAAAACCGAAGAAGAAGAAGTTGGCAAGAGGCCTACCAAAGGCAACACCCAAAAAATATAGGACAAAGCACCCCTAAAAAAGAAAAAAAAGAAAAGAAAAGCAAGCTAAATGAACAATGCAGTGGCAGGTGGTGGCAGCGAAGAAATGGGAGTGGTGGCTGGTGGATGTGGGTTGAGGGAGAGGTAGTGGGCTAGGGTTCAGATTTGAGTTGAGGTTTGACAATAGAAGATGAAGGTAAGGGTAAACGTAAATATGTCTTTATATATTGACATTTGACTTGGATTACAAAATTTTCCCCCCACTCTCTAAACAAGCATGTATAGTACACTCTTTGTCCATTTTAACAAAAAATGTGACAGTAGCATTTTAGTCCAAAATCATATGGGGGGCGTGTGGCTATTTTCAAAAGACAGGAGATGAAGTGCTACTGAGTCATACCACGGGGGCCTAAAGTGGATTTTGCCCTAGTTTTTATTTATTATTTATTATTTTTTTCAACAATAATGTAATGTTTCTTATGCATGTTAAATTCATATTAACACCATTAATAGGAGAGGTTCATGGCTAGTTTTGAAATAGGTGTTTGGCTTAATGGAATCATCCCAAACTTTAAGTGAATAGTTTGTTGATTTATAGAGATGAAACAAGACATGTAAACATGGATGATGAATGGTTTTACAATGATTTCTAGTTTGCTTAGAGATGTAACTGGAGATGTGCTAAAGATGTAGATGTCACGTGTTGCATATTTGTGTCTCCTTTTGTAAAATAGATCCCTTTCTTTATTTTATTTTTACCAAGTTATTGAATATTCTGGTTTTTTATTAGTATTAATGTTGGAATTTCTAGTTGTAATCAACCTTGTTTATATGTATTGTATTATTCAATTTTTTTGATATTTGTATTTCTAGTGATTATTGATGCATTAAGCATTAACTTCATGATTTGCTCGGAGTATTTTGCCTTGATCCTTTAGGGCTTTTATAAACTATAGCATATGTTTGCAATTTGGCATTGGCAATAGTTCTATTTAGATTATGTAAATAGATTTTATGGTTGAGACGTGTTATTGTTTTTCCCACTACATTACTTTATTATTTTCTTTCAATTTTAGGTTGCCAAAGACATAACAAATAAAGTCTTAACTAGTCAGAGGTTTCATGCTATGTCGCGCCCTGGAGAAGCAACTGTAGAAGAGAATGTAGAAGAGAATATTGAATTTAGTTGGGGCCACAAGAAGGGAATTGGTGGGCCAAACAAAGATGTCCAATTTTATGAGTCATTTAAATATGATGGTGTGGAGTATTTTCTTTATGATTGTGTGTATATATGGGGTGAAAATATGCCCAATCCATCTATTGGTAAAGTTATAAGGATGTGCGAGACGAGTAGGCACAAAAAATTTGTGAAGATTGTATGGTTCTTTCAACCTATTGAGATTCAATATTGGTTGCAAGATGTTGTGCCACTCAAGAATGAAATATTCTTAGCTTCCGGTGAAGGCAAAGGCCTTTTCAATCTTAATCCTCCGGTAATTTGAATTCATTCTCTTATGTTTTCTATATATTCTTTTAAGTTTATTGAAGCTTCAAAAATAGAAAAAGTATTAGAGATGCATTTTGTTTTGCTTTTTATCAAATAAAAAAGCTATTGTATTTGTATTTTGTAACAAATGAAGCACTTTCTTTTGATATTTGTATCTATGTCTAAGATGAATGTCAATGTTGATCCTTGTACAATGACTAGATGGTGTACATTGGTCGGCTTTTACTAAACAAGTGGAGAACAATATTTTGTGTTATAACATGTTATAAAGTATGCATTTCTTCACAAATGCCTTCAAATATTGAGCCATGCCCATTTGCATTGAGAGCTCTATTGTCAGAATCTTACAAGTCACAATTCATGCATGCATCAATGTGAATTTATGGGTGAGTTTTTGGTGGTGATTCACACTGTTCACAATTTGATTTATGTTTTGTGATCCTTGAGATGATTGAGCCTGACAAAATAGGACCCTTTTTACCTTTTTTCGAGTGAAAATGTCAAATATAACTTCTAAGAGTGTTTATTTTTCTGTGCCAAATTTTATGATTCTCTATTCGATGTTGATTCATTACTAAAATTGGGATTTTGATTCTTCATACAATTCGTGATTTGACAACGTAAACTCTTCTTGCAAGATTAATTTACTTTCTTTCATCCCATGTGAAATACTAGTTAGAGATCCATTAAACCTAACCAGGATTAGTAAAATACTAAACACAGAAACTAACAAATGCATAAGAAAAATAAACCACGCATAATGCTCATGATGCGTTGGTAGCGAGTCTAATTGTGTACCATTTTTTTTATGGTGATGATGTGCTTCCCTTTTGTGGGGCGGATGTCAATCAGATTGGGTAATTGAGATGTGTTTCGCTGTGTTTTGAGGCAGTGTCGGGGTTGAGGGTGAACCTGGCAAAGTCGGGGATGATTCTAGTGGGCGAGGTGGGGCATCTCCTGGTCTTGGAAGCTATTTTGGGGTGTAAGGTGGCTACCTTACTGGCTTCTTTCTTGGGTTTACCGTTGGGAGCAACTTTTAAGGCGACAAGGGTGTGGGATGGGGTGGTGGATTGAGCGCAACAGCGGTTGGCGGGTTGGAAGCGTCAATACTTATCAAAAGGAGGCAGGGTTTCTTTAATGAAGAGTTTGCTCTCAAGTATTTCGACATATTTTATGTCTATGCATGCGATCCCTGTGGCAGTTGCTAAGAGGTTAGAGAAATTACAGCGTGAGTTCTTATGGGATTTTTTTTGGGGGGGGGCTTTTCATTATCATTTAGTGGTTTGGGATCGGATCTGTATTCCTAAAAAGAGGGGTGCGTTGGGGTTTTGAAGTTTGGTTCCATTTAATTTGGCTCTTTTGGGAAAATGGTTGTGGTGGTTTGTGGAGGAGAGGGAGAGGTTTTGGAGAAGGGTGGTGGCGACTAAGTATGTTTTGGGAAAGGGTGATTGGTGTACTAGAAGGGTGTGGCAGTCACATGGGCGGAGTTTGTGGAAGGGGATTTGGTTAGGGCAAGGGGAGCTCTAGAAGCGGGTTCACCTTAGGTTGTAGTGGGGGATTGGGTTTTGTTTTGGAAAGATAGATGGTGTGGTGAGGATTCTTTGGAGGTGATGTTTCCTTTGATTTTTTGCATTGCTATTGATCCAGAAACGACGATGGCATCATATGGGATTCAATAAGGGCAATCGATTGTTTGGAATATTCAGTTGTGTTGTGAGGGATAGGATTGGGAGGTGATTAATTGATTGTTCTTTTGGGTTTTCTGAATAAGGTACGGTTTGGAGAAGTAGGAGAGGATACTGTGGTGTGGGTTTGTTCGAATGCCAAAGGGGTTTTCTTAGTGTCTTCGTATAATCAAGAGCTTGTGGGCGGGCAGCGTTATCGTTTCCTTGGAAGAGTGTTTGGGTGGCAGGATCTCTGTCCAAAGTTGTTTTCTTCGTGTGAACGGCGGCTTTGGGTCGTATGTTGACTATTAACAATTTGATTCATCGTCGGCATATTTTGGTGTATTGGTATTGTACGTGTTGTAGAGATGCGGAGTCAGTGGATCATTTGTTTATCCATTGTTCAGTTGCATCTCAGTTATGGATGCTTATTGTTGGATTGTTTGGGATGGTTTGGGTTCAGTAAGGCTCGGTTGTGCAGGTGTTGAGGAGTTAGTGTAGGGCGAAGGTTAGGAAACAACATAGGAAGGCGTGGTTGCTTGATGCCCAGTGTTTAATGTGGTTGATTTGGTTGGAGCGGAATAGACGAACTTTCTAGCTAGTGTTTCATTCGGTTCCATGGTTGGAGAGTAGGTTACTTGTGGTGTTTATATAGTAGGTTACAATTTTGGTGGAGCCGGATGTGTTGGCCTTTATAGATTGTGGATGAGTTGATTAGTTAGTTTTTGGTCTTTTTGTGGGTTCTCATTTTGTATTCTTTCCATCGCCTTGATGTTTTCTAATAATTTCTAATCATTTATTTATCAAATAAAAAATAAAGTAAAAGAAAATTGATTAAAATATTTAAAAAACTCACTAGAGACCAAAAAATATGGATCGAAAACTCGAAATTTTTTTTTGAAAATTTCTAAATCAAGCATGGTCTATGTTTTTTTGGGTGACTCTTATCTTTTGAGAAGGCAAGAAACAACTTGTCATTGCTGGTTCTCTGTTGAAGCCGAACATCGTGCTATGATTTATGCTACTGTTGAGATTGTTTGACTCTGTTGGTTTCTCTTTCATTTGGGCGTTCAAATCTCCTCTTCTACTCTAAATTGTGATAATAAGAGTGTTGTTCAAATTGCACATAATTTTGTCTTTCATGAGTGTACCAAGTATATTAAGATTGATTATCATTCGTTTAGCAACATTTTTTGTTTAGCAGCATTTGGTTGTTTTATATTTGGTTTTGGGGTATTTTTGTACCGAGTTACTTTTTTGTTTAGGGCTTTTGACTTATTTTAGTTTAATGTTAATCGAATAGGTTTATGATGTACAATTTTCTTCTCTTTCAAACTTACATCTCACTCTTCTTGTGAGTGACTGTAGCTTCAACCTTCAACTCAAATTTTTAAGAGATTGCTCATTGGAGTCTTTCATACACTCTGACCATCACACACATCACTAGTCACTTAGATACATGGTTGGGCTCAAGGGTTAGCACCCTTTTCCTAGTTTTCTAGATCTAGGAAGCACAAACACCTCTCCTGGAACTACGTATTAGTGTCCGACACATTTGGGACACAAACACTTGAGACACATGTCAAACACCTGAAAAGACTTCAAAATTATTTTTTGAATTATGGACAAGTGGGGTCATGCTAGGATCACATTTTGGACATGCTTGAGAGGCACTTTGAGGACAAACTGAGAACTCTTCTAGCACACATCTTTTTTTAAAAATGAAAAAAAAAAAAACTAAGTAAATACTTAAAAAAGAAAATGAGGTAAGGTGAATAAGTTACCACTTGACAAACATTAGATCTAAAAAACCTAAAATATTAAGAACCGGGAAGGAGAAAGAGAGAAACCTATAAAAAAAAATTCTCTCATGTCCTTGGCATCTGATTACCATGGTCGTCTTTCAACAATCTCCAATAATTATCAGCTAGATTATTTTTATGCTAAACTATGAAGCACAAACACTTGATTTGGTCTCACGTATTGGTGTCAAATGCATTTGGGAAAATGTTAAAGTTCCATGGATGTTTAGTCTTGAATTTTTATTTAGTGCTTTTGATATCTTGATAAAACTATTGTTGTGCTTTTTTTAAATCCCGAATTTGATTAAAATGATGTTACTTTTTTTATATGGATTTATGATCTGTACATTTTTGTATTTTATATATTATACGAGTTCCTATGTGTCTGTCTTAATTTTTGGAGAAGTGTTGTGTCCATGTCCGTGTCCTGTGTTCTTATCCCGTGCCAATTTTTGTACAAAACCTAAAATATTAAGAACTGGGAAGGAGAAAGAGAGAAATCTATAAAAAAAAATTCTCTCATGTCCTTGGCATCTGATTACCATTGTCATCTTTCAACAATCTCCAATAATTATCAGCTAGATTATTTTTATGCTAAACTATGAAGCACAAACACTTGATTTGGTCTCACGTATTGGTGTCAAATGCATTTGGGAAAATGTTAAAGTTCCATGGATGTTTAGTCTTGAATTTTTATTTAGTGCTTTTGATATCTTGATAAAACTATTGTTGTGCTTTTTTTAAATCCCGAATTTGATTAAAATGATGTTACTTTTTTTATATGGATTTATGATCTGTACGTTTTTGTATTTTATATATTATACGAGTTCCTATGTGTCTATCTTAATTTTTGGAGAAGTGTTGTGTCCATGTCCGTGTCCTGTGTCCTTATCCCCTGCCAATTTTTGTACTTCTTAGTATTCGATTATTATACCCATTTGTGTTATTGTAAATGGAAGAGGTTGAGGATGGATCCTAGTGAAAACCCTTGAAGTTGTATTGTAAAGTTTTTGAGTTACCTAGTGAAAACCCCTTTGTGATTAGTGGATTAAAGTCAGTATGGAGATTGAGATTGGATGCACAAGGGTCTAAAAGCATTATTGATATTGTATGAGATTACACTTTGATATTGGTAAAGATGAGATTTTATATATGCATGTTGCTCTTGTATCAATGACGTGTCAGCCAAATGTCTATGCGGGTAGTGTTGATTTAGATTTTTTATTTTATTTTTTGACTCTGAAGTCTGGTGGTGGTTTTGTATTAAGTATTAAGAACAACAAAGACGTTCATAGCTGAAGTATTAGATTATTAGCCAGTTGACCTTGTTTGTTTCATTTGTTTTAGGAAGCAATTGTTGGAAAATGTAATGTTGTCTGTACATCAAAGGACAACAGAAATCCTCAAGCATCTGAAGAAGAATTGTTAATGGCTGATTACATTTTCTATCGTACTTTTGATGTTGGAAGCTGCACAATATCTCACAGCTTTGTGGATGTAATAGCTGGAATTAATGGTTAGTGGTTCATGCTCCTGAGTTATAATGTTTATTTACTGTTTTCGGGCACTTTGCCTGCTTCTGATTATCGGAAATTCGTATGAATATGTTTCTTTTGGTTGGGTGCATATGGCATTTCAAGTAGTATTGAAGTATGTCATCTGCAAATTTTGGTATTTTTGTAAAACCCTTTTTGAATTATTCCTTTTCCATGAAGAGGGGAAACAAATGGCATAAGTTTAAAAATTACTGCAAAAAAAGTTTTGAAGTATTGAATTCTTTTGATTACAATGCTGGGATGTGAATAATTTCTTCAAACCTATTTTCTACTTTGTGAGATAGTCACCAACATTATGGGTCTTGAATGCTGATTTTGCAATATTTTTATTTGTATTGTTAAAATAAAGGCAAATAAATTGAATATTCTTAATGAAGAACTAGAGGGTAATGTTCATGTTCTATCATATGTTACTGAATTGCTATTTTTTTTCTCTCCTAATCAGCTGAATGCTTGACATGGCAATCATACTCTTCCATATATCTATGTTGCAGTGAAGCATTTTTTTAATAAGGAAAAAGGTCAAAAGCTCATTACTATGGAACATGGTGCAAATTTGAATGAGAAGAGTAGATGCTCAAGTTCGTTTTTGAAGGTTGAAGGGGTCACTGCTGTGAGGAATCCAGTGAAAGATGGAAAGACTGATATCGGTGCTAAACCAACAGCAGCCAAAGGTGATTTAGAAGAGGCCAGGAATATTTCTTTATGGATTTTTTATATTATATAATTAAATTGTACTACTAAATGAATTTATGTTGTTTCCAGTGTCTGCAGAATTAAAGATCCCAGCAGCAATGAGGAATCCAGTGAAAGATGAAAGGACTGACATCAGTGCTAAACCAGCAGCCAAAGGTGATTTAGCAGAAGCCAGAAATATATCTTGATGGTTTATTATTATTATTATTTATAAATTCAACTAAATGAAATTATCTTGTTTCCAGCATCTGCAGAATTAAAGATCCCAGCTGCTAGTTTGAGTAAACAATCACGATTTAGAGATGAGAATATTGTGGCTAGACCTAAAACTTTTATTGGTAAGGTTGGGGCTGGGGATGCTCAAGTGGCAGATAAGGCTGAAATGCAACATTCCGACAATCTGTCAACCACAAATTTATCAGATATTAGTCCACTGAAAAAGAGGAAGGTTCAATGTATTGGTAAATCTTTGTATGAGGTGTTGATATTATATATTTGTTTATTATTTTCCTTCGAAGCTTTGTGTGGGAATAATAGTGAAATCACATCACTTTTACAGTTGGTCTTAAAGACGATCCTGCAAAATTGTCTGATACTCTCCCAAGATTACCTGATATTCGAGTGAAATCTGTAGATGCTGTAGATCCTGTCATCAAGAACTCGGAACTATCTAAGGGGGTAAATTTTCATGAGAAGGCAAGGAAGATTTCTGATACGTCAGTTGCTCAACATGAACAAGATAAGGGCATCAAAACTGACAGCCAGATTTTGGAGGTTACAAGGAAGCCGGGTGAGGTAAAGTCTTGAATTTTTAAGTGGAAGACTTTTAAATTATCAATTTCATAAAATAATTCACTTCTGCCTTCTAGGAATTAGTTAATGTGTAAGTCTCAAAGACAGATAATGTCCTCGAAAATTGGATGCATATTGGTTACTTGATTATTCTTACTAATTTGAACAATTATTCTGGTTTTACCCTTTATTAGTGAATGGATTATTACTCCTTGAAGTTGAAAACTTCTCTAGGTATTAAATATGCTTTTGGCTATTTCCTTGTGAATAGCTAAGCCTCCAAGACATGACAATTACAATTTAAATGTTGAACACTTAGGAGCAAATTAAGAGTACTTGTGACACAAGCGCACTAGTGTATTTGCAAATTCACTTGCTAGTTTGATTTGGGCAGTTCCCTAACTTTTCTAAATTTTTTCTCTTCTTGCTTGCAGGATACAAGTAAATGGTTCAAGCAACAAGTGAGTTAATTCTTGGATGTTATTATATTATCCTGTTCTTTCTATGATAATGATGAATTATCTATGTTTGGTGAGCTTTTTTGTTATCTTAGAAAATGGTGTATAGTATTTCATTGCTTATGAGTTATGAACAAAAAGGAATTAAAAAGGTACAACGGCAACAGTTGAAGGAACTAGGAAGAAAATTCAGAAATGTTCTTATTTTGGTGTTTAATATTATCATGTTCCTTATTAATAGCAGGCGAGGTGACATTTTGACATGAAATGTCATACAAGCATCTTTAACTAGAGGGTTGACAGGTGGGTAGCATACTTAACATTTTGGGGTTTAAAAGGGCTGATTTGGAGGGTTGATAGATGGGTAGCATACTAATGTTTGGGGACTGATATTGTGGAGAGTTGCAATTCTTTCAATTCTTTTGCCACCACTTAGGGATAGACGCTTAATACGGTAGAGGTTCAAGGATCGATAAATAGATACTGAATGTGGCCACTCCACAAGGAGAAATTTGCAGCAGATCACCCTCAAATGAAAGTGAAGGTGAAATATGTGGACAAGTCCTTTACATCATGTTTGATTCACAAGACTAATAGCGAAATATTAATAATCTTATTAAATTAGTGTGGTATTCATTATCCAATTGGATTAATATCCATTGGATTAATAATCCCACCCCTACCCTATTGCTATTACTAATAATCCTACAAATTTGTTGGATTAATTATCCATTGGATTAATAATCCTAAACCAAAATGTTAAAACAAACATAGGATAATTGGACCCACGGATTAATAATTTCAATCCAATGCTCTAATCCACCCAATCAAACATGCCATTAAGGTATTGTTTGAACTGCGCAAATAGAGGATTTTTAATTTAATTTATTTTTACTTTTTAATTTCTTGATGAAAAGCAAGATAACAAATGGTTTATGATAGCTCGTAATGAGTAGTCATGAAACAATTTTTATTTAAAATGACTGTAGTTGAAATGATGTGTTAGGTTAGACAATTGTCAAGAAACATAATTTTTCTTGAAATCAGTGTAGTAGAATTGCTCAGTTAGGATTGGACAATTGACAAGATAAGGAACCAAAGAACTTTTTGGAAGAATACACAGAGACGGGCAAATTAGAAGTTAGAGGTAGGACCAGTAGTAGGATGGCTCATGTTGTGCAAGGTCAACCAATTCTTGCACTAAGATTGACATGTTTTGCGTTGAATTTGGTGCAAAAACAAGTTTTGGATTGATTTTTGCGTAAGAATCTCAATTACTTTGGTTAGACTATTCCCATGGGTAATTCAGTGAAAGAGTAGACAATCACTTTGAATTCGTTACTTGTACAGGCCTTGCTCATTTTAAAGGCTCCACCACCTACCACCTTGTTCAGGGTTACTCTCACCACAGTAAAAATTTCTGTCCAAATTCAACACATTCCATTTTTCAATTTGATAATGCTTCATTGTTCTGTAGCAATGTGCTTGATTTGTAAAATCTTTTTATTTATTTATTTTTTTGTTTCAAAATCAAGAGCCTCAACTCCATATGATTAGCCAAGTCCCACACATTTGCTTCTTTTACATTACAATTGGACGTGATATTTAGTTTGCCTAGACTAGAATTTTGTCTTCTGTTTAGATTTCATAATTGTGGAACACATACAATTTGTTGCTTGTAGTCATAGTTTAGATGTCTTTGGATAGATATTTTTATGATTATATTATCAAAACTTGATTGAATGGTTGATATTTTTAATTTCAGTACATACTAATACTCTGCTAATTTTGTAAATCCCCCCCTCCCCCTCCTCTTGCATTTATTTTGTCTCTAGCCTTGGGAGGAAAGGATGCAGAGGGCTTATGAAAAAGGAACTCTCGTCTTTCTAGAAAACCTGGATCCATCCTATACATCATCAGAAGTAGAGGTATGTATGATTCGAACATATGATTCTCATTCAATTGGAGACACCAGATAAGTTGAGAGAGACGAAGTAGCCTACGATGATTTGGTCATGTACAACGATATCTATAGATATAATGGTAATGAAGAGTGGTATATAATCTCCATAAATGAAATTGTTAAGGGGAGAAGATGACGTAAACTAACTTTGGAATGTAGCAATAAAAAATACATGGATTCATTTAATTTAACTGAGCTTATAGCACTTGGTAGAGCAGAATATCGAAAAAGGATTCATGTAGTTTGATGATACAGTTCGTTCCAGGTGGAACGGGTCGGACTGATCCACGCACCTCAAACCTGTGTCCGAATGACCAAGCCCACAGTGGAACCTGCACAAGAGTTCAACGGGGAACGGGGAGTCCCCCAACGAATCCTCCGACGAGCAAGTTAGAAAGAGAGATGGAATGTAGAGAGATTAGAGATAGAAAGTTTAACCTTCTTCTTGTCTTCGACGTCTGCTTATATCCTTTGGTAATCATTTCGTTGTCCCTTCCGACCTGCCATCTTGACCGAAAGTCTATGCTCTAGCTTGCCTTGTTCATGGTGAGGCCGTTCTGTCTCAACGGGGAGGGGTTATTGCAATAAATGCTGCAAGGGGCCTCATTAATGGCTGTAACTTTGCAGGATCTTTGTCTGCTTATGTGGCCTGTCCTTCACCTACCACGTGTCTAACTGTCATTAGTTCTTGATGCCATGTTGAGCTCCAGTAATGCTGGGCTTCATTAGTTGAATTATGTATTGGGCCCTAAGTGGTGGGATTGGATTGTTTATAGTGAGCTATAGCCTTTATGGGCTTACCCACATCATAGTTGACCCCAATTGTGTGCGACACAAGGCTTAAATATGCATTTGGCGGCAACATTTCTGAACTGTCAAACAGCTACCATTAATATTTGCATGGTGAGGCCCATTGTTAATCAACATAGGTTTGTAACAATACAAGTGTATACATATTCGAACTTAACAATTGTATTTAAAGTAGAAGACAGCCTAAGAAAACAAATACACACACACATATATATATGTATTTAAAATTAACAAATGTAGAGTTAATGCACGACCAACGTAGATAAGGTTCTCCAAGCTCGAAGACATTGTCTGTATTTGTAGGTTTCAACTTGTAAATGCTATTAACATTAGCATATTATGGGCAGTGTCTTACATAAAATAAGGATAGCATAGGGAATAAATTTTTTCAGTTAACTTATATCAATGCTCATGAAAGTCACTTTGGAAGCATTTTAGGAAGCCACGCCAAGCAACTTCATCAAAACAGACTTCCTAGCGGATCACTTTTGGTGGAATTCCTTCATTTCAACCTCACCTAAAATACAAAAAAAAAAAATAAATAAAAAATTAAAAGGACTTCTATGGTCAGAAAGTACTTTGAGAAATCCCACCAAACACCATGATAGCAGTTTAATCTTTGCCCTTGTTTCTCAGGATTTAGTTTGGCATGCCTTCAAGGCAAATGTTAATGCGAAGATGGTACAGTGCAGCTCTTTTTCCAGCCCACACTATGGTATGGCTTTTTTGTTGGCCTTCTCCTTTCAAACTTTTATCATAATGAGTTATGCTTTTTGCACCAATAACTTGTGAACATTCAATTATTCTTTTATTTGCCAACAGGACAAGCTATTGTTATATTCAAATCGAAGGATGCAGCAGAACTTGCTCTTACCGAATTAAACAGGAAATGCCTAATGCTCACAAACGGAAGGTAGTTGATAATCACTTGTATGTTCAGCTTATTTCCTAAACATTGCTCTACTGCTTAAATCTATAATCTCACAGCTACACCAAATAGGTTACTAGCTTATACTCACAGTTATAAGGTATAATCTATTAAGTTATAATCTATAATCACTTTTTCACAGTTCTACCAACGGGGCCGTTATAATTCTCTTGTTCAATTTTTATACTTTCCACTTGATAAACACTCTTGATGCATACTGTTTTTTCTCTTCTTTTTTATTTATTTTTTATTTTTATCTCACTTTTGTGGGAGTTCACATGGGTTCCAACATCCATGGATGCTTGTTGGTTGCTTAGATCAGAAAGATGGGATATATGTATATAGGTTTTTTATAAGGTATAGATAGATGATTTTTTACAGATTACATCCATAGGGTGGTGGGTCAAAAAAAAAATGAAATGAAGTTGATTCAATGTCAAATCATCTATAGATGTAATCAGGTCTCTGTATTGCAATTAAAGAATTTTGAAACCATATCACTTTGTAAAGTAATTTATATGTTTATTGAAATTCTGAAACTCAGCATTTTAGATAAGAAAAGGTTAATTCAAGTGTTTCAATCTAATAATTTTATTCATCTATTGGAGAATCTCAAGTTTTTTTGTTTTCCTTGGATTTCAGATTTCTTATAAGATATTATTTGTGGTTTCCCTTGATTCTGCAGAGCAGTTGTTGGTCGCAAAGGATCACCAAAGAAGCCTAGTGACCAAACTAGATTTGTTGGTCACCTCATCATTGGCAAATTCAAATTCTACAAGCAACGTGAAGAGATGGTAATGTGTCCTCTATCTATCATCTATCTCATGCACTTAACTTTTTTTCTTGGAGGATTTGCTCATCTAAGAAACACTGACACGACATGACACTCGTCGGATACTTCCCAGCACTTGTCGGACACATCCAAACATGTTTTATTATTTTTAAAAAATTTCTATACTTGGACACGATTCAAAGACTTGAGGATCACATGTCTATCACGTACACACATGAAACACATTAAAGTTTGAATAAAATAACTTATAATCCAATGATAAAAGAAAAACATCGTAAATTTATACCTATTCTTCTCCCTTAGGCTTCAAAAATTATGATCTTTGTATTAAATATTCATATATATGACATATTCTCCTCCTTATATATGATGTATAATGATTATATAAAATTATATATTGTGTAGCTCTCATGTGTTGTCCCCTACAGTCTTCGAAAACTTTCGTGTTGGTGTGTTTGTGTTACTTCATGTTTCACGTGTCTGTGGTTCTTAGCTGCTCATATATCCTTTTTTTCTTTTTAAAAGAAAAATGCAGTATCAACATCACACTATTCCCAACCCAACACTATTGAATATGATATGGCCTTGAAATGGCGCGTATTGCAAGCAAAATCAAATCTATGGTGGGATGCTCTGAATGAGGTAAGTGAAAAGCTCCTGAATTTATCCTTCATTTGCAAAGGATCACTTTCTAGCTTTTGTATTGTTGTGTTGATAGACTTGAGTTGAGAGTTTATACCCGTACTATCTTGTCTAACGCAGCAACAGGCAAAGGAGATAGAAGACCTTAGAAGCCAGCTAAGCATGAGTCATGATGAGTAAGTTGTTTTAGGAAGCACCCTCTCTAATCTTGTAATTACACGTGGTGGCTCGTTCTAATCACACATGAAGCTTGAGGAACTGATCCGGATTTGTAAATTTTTGTGCTTACAGTTTGTTTTGTGCAGATGACATATGGGGGTATAGATTTTAGTTTAGAAAAACTTGAAAGAGAGCACACAACTTACAAGGGTTGTACCCATTTTTGGATGGCATACTTGGGGGTCCTGCCCATTTTGAGAAATGTATAGATAGTCTAAACTACAAACCTCAGTAGTAAATGCAGCCAGCTTTTGGTGTAAAAATCTATTTCTTGATGACATTTTGTCCGCAACTATCAATTTTTATATTTCCTATCTGCAACAGCAAACGTGTTTTTGAGCAAATCTTGTTACGAGTTGAGTGAAATTGTGTTATGAATAGAAACTAATGTATTCCATCTGTTAAGTGTGCGCTTCAGATTACCTAGCACTATGTTTGTTTTTCTGTTGTTCTTTATATATTATGGGTATGATTATGATCAACAAAATGGCTTCCATTTGTTGGGGTTTTCTCTCATATTCTGATAGTTTATTTGTACTAATTATGTGTCGTGTTTGATATCTTTGTACTATTTATGTGGTGTGATTGATGTATTTGATATTATATGATTGCAATTCTTTGAGTTTCATTGTAATATATATAAATAATATTTAAAAAGAAAATGTGAAACTAATGTTTGCACTGCGGCTGCGGGCAGGCAGTCGAAGCTCGTAGAACCAATGTGAACTTGCTGACGACTGTGTGCTTAAATCTAGTTGTTTGCAATGGCTTGTTTTATTTGTCAGGATCATTTTCTTTTGCATTTTAGTTGTGTATAGGTTTTGAATTTGTGAAGAGAAATGATATGTAAATAGGAAAGGTAGTAAAAGAAAATGTAGCAGATTTATTTATTTTTTTTAAAAAACTTATTTTGGTTTGGTTAGACAATGAAAGAAAATGAATGTCAAAAAAATTGGTCAGAATTCAAACATAGACAAAAGCTTATGTGAATTCTCAATATTTTTTCTTATATTTTTTGAAACAGTAATGTTACGTACACAAATTTTGAGCATGGAAGTTCTCACATAAAAGTGGGGCTAATGCATGTGGAATCCTTGGGGGATTTATTTTCATGTGAGAGCTTCTGTGCATTTTGTGCATAGAAATTTGGTGTAAGAAGTATCATTTTTTGGAATAATGTATTTTTTCCTCTTTAACCCTTATAATTAAGGTAGAATTTTCAAAATTATCCTTGTAGACTTTGCATCCAATTATCAAAATTATCCAGCGTGCAACCATTAAATTATGTAAAATTTTCAAAACATAAAAATGTTTCAGACATAATTTAACAACTATAAATATTTCAAGATAATATTGTTTGGTTTAGAATTTTCAAAAACAAAATTTTAAGTTTTCAATTTGTATTTTTATATTTTTCATAATTTTTAAAAATATTTTAATTTAAAAAATATAAAACTTGTAAAAAAAAAAAAAAAAAAACTTTAAAAAGTTAATTAAATATAATAAAATAATATTTTTGATTTTTTTTTTGTAAAAATATTATAATTTTTAAGTGTATTTAAAATTAAAAATTTATGTAAAATATTAAAAAGCAATAAATAAATAAACAAGAAAAATAAAAAAGTCAATTTCATAAAAAGTGTATTAAACCAAACAAAAAAAGACAGGGCATCACTCCCACAAAGCAACGATTAGATTTAACACCTGAGTATCCAGACTTGGCTTTGCCACAAACTCATCTAATTATCAATAACTGATAAGAGGCCACTCCATTCAAGCACAAAGCCACATTACTGCCTTTCATTCACTCCAAATACCTAACCCTTAACAGTGAGCTGCGTAAATAAACCACCCTAAAACAGATATTCATATTAATTTCTCAGACAAGCATTTTTATGCAACTTGAATTTTGATTATATATTCAATGAAATAAGACCTTTCTCCCCACTTATATGCAGAATATGACATTTCACTGCTAAAAAAAAAATATCTTCAAAGGAATATGAGAATTCACCAAAGCAGACGAGAGAATACAGAACAAGTACGGAGTATCTTCCTAATTCAGGTTTTCTTGATATTTGTCATACATTGTTTTCAAAGTTTCAAAGCACACACAGATTTAACTAAAATGTAAAATGTCAAAAAGAACTAGTCCTTCGAAGATTTGTTGATGAGTGACTTATGGATATGTGGGATAACTCCACCACCAGCAATGGTTCCTTTGATTAGGGTGTCAAGTTCTTCATCTCCCCGAATTGCAAGCTGCAAATGTCTCGGTGTTATGCGCTTTACCTTCAGATCTTTGCTTGCATTTCCTGCTAACTCCAGCACTTCTGCAGTCAGATACTCCAATATTGCTGCTGTATATACAGCAGCAGTTGCTCCAACCTTTCATTCACTCCAAAAACCTAACCCTTGATAGAACAGTGAGCTGCATAAATAAACCACCCTAAAACAGATATTCATATTAATTTCTCAGACAAGCATTTTTATGTAACTTGAATTTTGATTATATATTCAATGAAATAAGACCTTTCACCCACTTATATGCAGAATATGACATTTCACTGCTAAAAAAAAAATATCTTCAAAGGAATATGAGAATTCACCAAAGCAGACGAGAGAATGCGGAACAAGTACGGAGTATCTTCCTAATTCAGGTTTTCTTGATATTTGTCATACATTGTTTTCAAAGTTTCAAAGCACACACAGATTTAACTAAAATGTAAAATGTCAAAAAGAACTAGTCCTTCGAAGATTTGTTGATGAGTGACTTATGGATATGTGGGATAACTCCACCACCAGCAATGGTTCCTTTGATTAGGGTGTCAAGTTCTTCATCTCCCCGAATTGCAAGCTGCAAATGTCTCGGTGTTATGCGCTTTACCTTCAGATCTTTGCTTGCATTTCCTGCTAACTCCAGCACTTCAGCAGTCAGATACTCCAATATTGCTGCTGTATATACAGCAGCAGTTGCTCCAACCCTTCCGTTCGCTGAAACCCTTGTCTTCAGAAGTCGGTGAACCCGACCCACAGGGAACTGCAATCAATATGCAAGAAAATAGTGTCATTCTGATATAAGAATTGTATCGAATGCAGTTCACTGGAAACAAATAACACAAGTACTTAAATAAATCACAAAAGAGAGTTCAACATTGTTTGGATAGCTACCATACGATCACAAAGGCACTAGGTATAAAAAAGAATGAAGTGCAGGACTCAAGATTTAGCTGTATAGAGACATTCATTATACTTCTCCATGCCTCAGTAATGGCAAGTATGAGGAATTTTCTATAAAATGTAGTAAGGATTTTGAAGTATATTACACCAGGTATCAATGCAACAATTTGCTAGAAAGGGTATACCACTAGAAACAATAAACCATTAGAAGTCGTCTAGTGGAGGGCACAGAACTAAGCAAATAACGTTCATCAATGTCGATGGCAACTATTGACTTCCTTTCGAACCTTCTATGCTCAGGATTCTTCAAAAAGTTGAATTGCGGGTCATGTTCATTCCATAGAAACCCATTCTTCACTCATCTAGTGAAGGAGGGCACAGAACTGAGCAAATAACGTTCATCAATGTCGATGGCAACTATTGACTTCCTTTCGAACCTTCTATGCTCAGGATCCTTCAAAAAAGTTCAATTTCGGGTCATTTACATTCCATAGAAACCCATTCTTCACTCATGAAATAGCCATTTGCCAGCACTGGCTGATCAAACTATGATCTCATTAGATACCACTGCCCTAGGTAGTGGTTGAAACACACTCATTCACCTTGCACACGTCTTGGGTTGAAATTGTTCAACTAGGGAGGGCCGTGGGTCTTAGGGCAGTCTTAGAGCTGCCTTCATTAATAATATTCATGCATACTTTCTTCCACTTTCGACTTGTAACAATTTCTACTTATCATAGATTTGGTTTTGATTGGCTTGCAATTACTAAGAAGGTTGCAGAGCCAATGATGAGAACAAGATGGTAAAACCACTGGGAAAGAACATGCAAGGTTGGAATTTCTTTTAATTATCCACAGCCGCCCGTGGGAAAGCCCATTGCACATATACATTTTAAAATTACATAAAAGAAATACACAACCCCCCTAACACCTATTTTTTCAACAACTAAGGGAAATACTGAAGCCCCGCAATGTGGCTTTACCATCGTGAGATGGTTTGCCGACAAGAATGAGCCCCTGTTTCATCAAATTTTACAACCCATCTCCAAACAGCAATCCAAAACATTAACATTGTACTAGAAAAGACCTTTCACTTTCCCCACCTTCTAGTAGGAATATAAAAACTGAAAACAATTATTTTTCCAGTGTCTTGAATTAAATTTCACATGGCAATTATCTACCAGAATACTATGCCAGCAAACTAATGTGATTTGCCATTTCCCCTTTAAAAGTGCTCATCCATAAGGCATTATTGCGATATGTCACAGGAAATCAAAGCAAACATCTCCTAGATGCTGATATATTGACGCCTACAAAATGCAACACATTAATGTTTTCACCGAATTATTGGGCTTTTTTTTTCCTACTACATACCTTAGTTGAACGAAGCGGGAGCGGGGAATCGTGAGCCGATAGAAGTTTCTTAGATTGGGAGCGTCTCGGGGAGCGGTAATATATATATATATATATATCATGCAAACAACAATGTTTGTTGTGACAGCACAGTGCTGTCACAGCACCTGCCCCGCGTCCTCTTGTCACTGGGATGTTAAGAAACATACGTGACAGCTGCATCATTTAGTCATCTTCATTTTAGGTAGTTTTGTTTTTTACATTTTTGGTAAGTTTTCATTTTTATTTATTTACTTTATTTATTAGGGTAAATTATTGTAAATCCCCTTAAATTATAACCGATTTGCATTTTGTCCATCTGAAATTCAAAATTCAACAATCAACCATATTAAAGTATTATCTTATTACACTTAACCCCTTCCATTAGGATTTTGTTAGAGATTTTAGGTAATGTGTAAAGCACATGACATGTTGATTGAATTTATAAGGCAATAATGCTCTTATCTGGTGATTTCGTTTGAACTTTGCCACTAAGATAAAGAAAACAAAGTAAAATGAGATCACTAGATAAGGGTATTATTGTCCTAAAAAATCAATCACATGTATTATTATCTAAAAAATCAATAAGTTTGTTATACTTCACACACGACTTGATTTTAGAGAGAGAGAGAGAGAGAGAGAGAGAGAAGCACAGAGAGAGTGACGAAGACGAAGACGAAGACGATCGAGAGAGTGACGAAGACGATCGCGAGAGTGACGAAGATGATCGAAGCCCTTTCTCCTCTCATGTCGACGTCGAAGGTTAGGGTTTCTCTCTCTCTCTCTCTTTGCCCTTTACGATCCCATCTTGGATTGAATCACGTTTCTCTCTTCACAAAAACGCGATTCTTACACGTTTCTTTCTAGGAATCGCGGAATCGCGATTCTTACTGAGAATCGCCACCTAGTTGCACGATTCCTGCAACTAAGCTACATACATACTCGATGCTTTAGGTAAGACTTCTAGGAAACAAAGTCAAGTATCTATCTATTATTATTATTATTAGTATTTCCTTTTTTACAAGGGAAGGAAATATAGACTGTAATAGTAATCATCTACTATGAAAAATTAATGCCTATAGCCCCAATGTTTGAAATTATTTTTCTTAGATCTTACTAGAATCTCAATTTATCTCCAATATTGGCTATCCGACACAAGAAGTTCATCTTATTTTTTAAGGGTTTAATTTCCAAAGAGGGAGCAAAACATACAAGAATGACAAACGTTCCATCCATACCAAAGTTAGCACTAGCAAAACAAATACTACACATAGGAAAGCAACTAGAACCCAAAACATGAAGTAGAAATGGCCACTGAAGTTCTGCTAAGCCTATGATGAGGTGATCCAAAGACAAGCAACGCCCCTTCAAGCTCTAAATGTAAACCTCAGTGTTTCTGCAAGGGACTTGGATATCTCAACCAAATCTTTTAAAAAAATAAAAAATAAAAAAAGAAAGAAGAAGAAGAAAAACAAATCAAAGAAGCATAGTAACAAAGCCATAAGTGCTGGCCTCCTCATAACCTGTCAACGAGGCCATAACTTCAGCTTTGAGACTCCAAACAAAATGTAAATGTAACGACAAAATACCTCCTCAAACACAAACACAATGAATTGCAAGAAAGCAGGCTTCAAAAATAATATAGATCCTTGTTCATTCTATTCTTTTTCCAGTCTTTCTAATCCGCAATATGAATGGACCTCAATGTTTTTGGTGCTTTAGAGCCATATGGACCATGAAAAAAGGTGGAATGTCACCCGTTGGAACACCTTAATCTAAACCCCCTTGAAACTGGGAAAGGTGGACTGCACCATTTATAGTTATGTTTCTAGTATTATTAGTCTTATTTTATGATTAATTTATATTTTCTAATATTTAAAGGTCGGGGGCATTTTGGTAATTTTCATATTTGCAGACATTGGCGGTAAGGGTCGCCCATGGGTCATGTTGTAGGTCAAGTTATTTAATTAGTTTTTATTTATATTTCTTATTTAGTCTTAATTTGATTTTAGAAGTCAAAAATATTGCAATAGTTTCCCTTTTTTGTTCTAGTTTAGTTTAGGAAATCTCTTAGTTCTATATAAAGTCATGTAATGCTTATAATTTGAATAAAGTTGATATTTTAGAGAATTTCAAGAGCTTTTGAAGCTTTTGATTGTATGATGCAATCAAATCTTAGATGTGATGTCTAAGGAATTCTAGACGTGATTCGTAGACCTATCTTCTTCGTCTTCTCCTTCTCCCCTTCTTTTATTTTAGCACTGTCACAGCCCCAGCCCAAATACTGTTCACCAATCACTGTTCACATCTTCATAACAATCCCTGAAACAGTGCCACAATACTATCCTTTCATACTCAAACTCTTACCCCTTTATTACCTTAAACAAACCCTTTAAAACCTTGTACCATTATTGCAATTTCATCCATAAAACCCAATTAAAATCAGCCCCAAAAGCACACTGTTGCTGCTGTCCCTAATCGTCCTATATCAGCCAGTCACCAAAAAGAGAAGAATGGCCAATTCCTACTTCCTAGTCAATGAGAATGATTTATTAGTAGAGTCATAATACTCGTTCATTGATCAGAAAAATAGAAACATGGAGGGATTTTGAAAAACTCCTGCAAAACAAACCTCCCAAACAACTATATTAAAAAAAGTAAGAAAAGAATGATAATGAGAGAAAGAGAGGGAGAGAGAGATCCACACATAAACAACTGCATTCTATTGAAAAGGCAGCACCATGTTATGTAAGAAATTCTATGATTTTCCATGCTTTCACTATTTGTAAGTAAATTTATTTATTTGGATAAATAAAACTATTTGCAAGTAATTGTAACTTTAGAAACCCGACTGCTAACATGCAAATCATAATTGAAACAAAAGGACTGCAGGGCAAAATATTTTAATATTTATTTTAACTAATCTCTCCGTTGAAACCTTGTTACGAGATTAAGTCAACAAGCTCAAGCCATCAGTCAAACTCAGGTAACAGTCTGTTTTCCACTGCAAAGTAATAATCATTTTCTCATTTACTATTGCCCATACAAAGAGAATACCTCTAAAGCTTCTAAAACCAACATGACGCAGAATAAGGACCCTAGGAAAGGAATGCAAAACAGGACATGGTAGCTACAGTCAACTGCATGGTAACACTTCTCACCCACAAGCAACACACCTCTCACCAACACAACCCCCCACCCCAACCCCAGGAAAAATAAAGCCCCAAAAAAGGATAGATGCTTTCCACCATCTTCATTACTATATGCGTGTGAACGTGTGTGCGCCATCTTTGAGCATACCAGATGATACAGCTATGATTCAACTCCATTTATTCCTTTCCGCCTTATCCTCTAATATGCCATGTGAGCCCTCAAAACTTCCTTACACTTCATGATTTATTAACCATCATAGACTTGTAGAGCATACAACTATACTTTCATGAAAGGATTTAACTGAACTTCTATAGCAATTCTCAGCTTATTATAGCCTTTCTCAAAAGACATGGAAAAGTAAAAGAAATTCAAGTCCATAGCTTATTAACGCAACAATGTTGGACTTATCTGTACAGTTTTTGTAATTGCTAACTGCCTTGTCAAACTCCATGTGCCTTCTTCACTGGAAAATTATTCTCTCTCTACAACATCAAGGGATCACATGACAAACCAAACCACCATTCTGCCCTATCCAGTTACTCTCTCATAAATCATAGCCACCAAGATAAGAATTGAAAACTAGAATGGTCAAAAATATACATTTCAACAAAATTCACAAACAAACTAAAAAGTTGAACCCAAACCAGGGGAGGTGGAAAGTATCACGAATAAGAAATTTTAGGAAAAATTACAACAAAAAAAGGAAAAAAAACCTAGAGTTTGACCCTTGTAACAAAATAAACCCTGAGTTTTTTATTTTGTCAATTTAAACCATAATCTTTTGATTTGTTTTCAATATAAACTATCAGCCTATTTTTTTCAAGTAAAACCGACAAAAAAAATGGTACTTTAATCATTAAACTCAATGTAGGTATACATAAATTGTCTAAAATACATTCTTTCGTTGAATTTAATGATTAAAATAAATATTTTCTGTCGGTTTTCCTTAACGGAAGTAGGTAGATGGTTTAGGCTGAAAATAAATCAAAAGTTAAGGGTTCAAATAGACAAAACAAAGAGTTCAGAGTTTATTTTGTTACCAAGGTAAAACCTTGAGATTTTTTTTGTTGTTGTAATTTTCCCGAAATTTTATTATCAATAATTTCTGATAGTAAACTAGATAAGAAATTTCCATAATCATCATTGGAAAGAGTTGGGAATTAATTTCTGACTAACATACATGCAGAGTAAAACACAATTTGACTCAGAAATACCTGACATCAGACTAAAACTAAGACCCCATAACCAAAACATGGAATTATAAAAATCAGACCTCACCACCAAACAGGAAAAAAGCTTTTCAACTATCAGATTTATAAATCCCCATCAAAACAACACCAGTTTCTACAATCTCAATCACTTGTTATGCACTTAAACTTCTAACCACAACCAAATGAATAAATTATTATTTATTTTTTTTCAAATTTTCACGTTTCTGAGAAATAACCAGTGCAAATTGGAGGAAATCAACGGTTCCACATCCAAAGCAACATATAAAAACACAAATGCATGAAACTTCAATGAAAGAAAACTAATAAAAATCATCGAAACTATAAGAATGTGAACTAGAATTACAACAACAATCAAAGAAAAGAAAAACATACAGATCAGATTTGTAGAGAGAGAGAACCTGGAGACCAGCGCGAGAGGAGCGAGAGACTGCCTTCTTCTTGTCCTTGTCTTTGTTAGCTCCGTTTAGGGCAGAAGAGGACTTCCCCGTAATCAAACCTTTCGCTCCTTTTCCCGACATTTTCCCGCCAAAAAAGCTAGGGTTTTCGTCGATCGAACTCTAAACGGTCCAGAAATCAACAGCAGAGAGCGCGAGAGATCGCGAAGAATTGAAGATGATGTGATGATCGACGAAGGCTCTATTTATTTGGTGGTGCCTCCATTAAGGCTTGTTTGGGGAAGATGGAAATAAGGAGCGTTTTGATTTATTTTTTTATTTTTTTGGTTTATTTATAAAATTATTTGGAAAGTGTTAAATAAGCACTGTTTTTGTTTTTCTTAAAATTATTAAAGTATAGTGTGACATCTCTTATAAAGGTATAAATTCATCATTTTATCCTCGTCCATTTTTGTGAAAATGACCATTTGATCCTCATCACGAGGGTATTTTCATAATTTTATGTGTTGATTTATTTTTGCACTTTCCAAATGAATTTTTTTTTAAAGGCTTTTGCTTTTTTGAAAACTGACATATCACTTGTGTTATGCACAGACTATATAAAAAATTAAAAATTAATTTTAAAATTAAATAATAACATAAAACTTATTTAAAATGTATAGAAATATAATTTAAATTTTTTTTAAATAAGCTGGCTTTTGCTTTTTTGAAAACTGACATATCACTTGTGTTATGCACGGACTGAATAAAAAATTAAAAATTAATTTTAAAATTAAATAATAACATAAACCTTATTTAAAATGTATAGAAATATAATTTAAAATAAATTAAATTTTAATTATTTCATTAGAATATATATCTATTTAATAAAGCAAAACGAATTTTGAAAATATATAAAATGTATCAGAGATACATTTCTTTTGAATGGCTAAGATCAATCCTAAAAATATATTAACGGTGCAGATCAATTAGATTCCCGCTCAAACCCTCTCTGCTCTCTGTCTCTCTCCCACGTCTGCCTAAACACGTCTGCTTTCAGTACCACATACATTCTTCTCAACTCCCTCTCTACACGTTCTCTCTCTACACGACTGTCTTACCTTTCCCTCTATACCTGACCAATGGCATTTTCTTCATGCTTTTCTTCTCTGTGGCCTACTACCTCCTTCACCCCCTCCACAACGACCGCTTTATCCTCGAAGAAGATCGCCGCCTCCTTCCTTACTCCTCCTTCACCGTTGTTGATTGCGCCGCCCCTCCTGTGCCCAAACTGATACATCTGATGGCTGTGCTTTCAGATTTCAATTCTCTTTAGCTTTCTCCCTCATCTGCGGCGGCTTCACGATAAATAAGTATGGTTCAATCACGACAATGTCTGGGTCTCATTTGTTTCAAATTGGGATAGTTCATGTGTGCGGTGATGACCCATTGTCATCTTCAAGAACAGAGGTATTTTACCCCAATTTTGGGCTTCTGCAGTTCTTTATTTTACATTCTGTAGTTATGTTGATTGGGTTTGCTATTTTTTTTTCCCTTCTCTCTCTGTTCTTCTCCTTCATTTCATGAATACACATTCTGGGTTTAAAATTGGGTTATTTGGCCTTTCAATATGTGTAATTTGGGGTTTGATTTTCTGTTTTTATTAGAATTTGGTGCCCAATACAGACTTACAGGTTAAATCTAACTTTACAATTGTATATTAAAGTTCTATTTATTAATTGTTTGAATGATTGTTTATTGATAATTGACGGTTTTCATTATTTTTAACCTCGATTACTATCTCTTCGCAATGCTATGCATATGCATATCTGTTTTACCTAACACAGGTCCTCCATGGTCGTAACATGTTTGATAGTTTGCCTATGAGAGACCTACCACAATGATTGAACACTGTTCTGCCCCGAGTTACTGCTTCTCGAACTCTCTCTCTGTGTCGGGCTGTGACTGTTTTGGTATGTTGTGTCTGTTTTGGTAATTATTTTAGAATTTTGTTTATGGGTCATTTAGGTTGGGTATCGTCTCCCAAACCCACAAATTTTAAGGTTTTTAATCAATCTAATACATGCCATTCTCCCAAATTCACAATTTTTTTTTAATGTTTTTGAGAATCTTGAGGTTTTTTAATCCTTAACTTATATTCTGAATTTTTTTTCCCAACAGTGGCATCAAGACCTACCGTTCAACACTAAATCAGAAGTATTTTGCATTGTCTCTTTATTGGTTTTTCTTCAGTTCTTCAGTATTTTACATTGTCTCACATACACTCAATGGTTTATATTTTAGCGACAAATTTGATAAAACAGTAAGTATGGTTTATTTGATCAAAAAATTGGTTTGTCTACATGGTTTGTCTGACATTCATCATATTGATTTCCAATTTTGTGTAGAACACTCAATGGTTTATAGTTGGTTTTTGATTTATTGTAAAAAAATCAGTTTTTACCAAATAGGTTTTTGTTTTGAAGCTCCTTTTTTTTCTTCCTTGAAATTTCAAACATTGAGTTTGTATGTGTTTTGATTGTTGGAAAACTTTGTTGTTTACCTGCTCGCAAAACTTTTTGCTTTATTGTTCGCAAACCTTTTTGCTTTATTGTTAACTGTAAATGAAAGAACAGAACAACAAATTAAAGATCGCATAAACACGTAAAGTATTTGGGCGTTAATTGTTTACTGCACAAAGCTGAAATTTAGTTCTAAAATTTAATTTCATTTGAAATTTATAAATGAATTCCAAAATTGAATTTCATTTGAAAACTCGCCTATGTTTTTATAAGTGTATCTCTTTATCTAAGACAAAAAAATGACTTTAACTGGAAACTCCCACAGCTTCTGTGAACATAGATAACTGTTTTTGAGTTTCGTTCATCTGTTCATCTAATTTTTAAGTGCCTCCACAACGACAGAAGCCCACCTTTGTGCCTACAACAACCCTTCATCTCCCCTACAAATGCAGCATCCCCTCTCTCTCTGCATCTCACTCTCTATGTTTTTGTTTCAATCTCATACTCTTTCATTCCATCGGAGCCTAACCCACTCGGCAACAACGACGACGATGAGAGGATGATTATGAGAGTGGTGAGTGTGAAAGTGTTGGAGAGAGGATGATTATTGACTGTCATGTCTATATTTTTTCCCCAGATTCTTCTGTGTATTGATGTTGCTGCATCTTCTGCAAAGTCTGCAACTATGTCCCAAAAGCTTTTGGATCAGGCAATGTAATCTAACTTTTATTGTGGAGATTATATATTAGGGATTCAAACATATTCTCTGTATTTATCTCTTATTTGACTTTGACCTGGTTAAGCACACAGATAGAGAGATATAGATATAGAATTTAAGGTAACGCATTTTCTTTCGGTTTTCGTTTTCTCCATCAAATGCGTCCATTCCAAGTATGACTTTTTCTAAACCACAATTTCATATGACTTCTTCTCAACATGGGTTTTGCTGGAACTTTTGGTTTGATTGATTGATTTACACTCAGTTTGTTCTTCAGTTTCAGGCCATTGGGATTTCCCGAAAAGAAAAAAAAAAGGTATTTTTTTTAATGTAGGGGGCTTTGATTTAATTTTACTGAACAATTGAAGGTATTTATTAAATGTGTCTATATATATATATATATGTGTGTGTGTGTGTGTGTGTGTGAATTCATACATAACTGTATATTTCTGCAAATGAAACTTATTGACTTATTGATAGCTTTAGCTCCAGATTAATTGGTCACTGAGTTGTTCAACTTCAGCTTAATTAAACTTGGTCTAAATTGAATCCAAGCCCATCTAGGCTGAGCTTGGTTTTCACATACTTGGTTAACCTTGCTCATGTACCTAATGGATTTGGTTTTTAAAGTCCCATGTTTATTTCAAATCTATGTGAAGCCATATTGAATGCTTTATTATGTTGTTTTGTAATCCTGATAGGTTGCAATTGATTCATCTTTACAATATGTTATAAGTTTTGAATTTGATATGCTTAATTGTTACCTAGATAGTACTCTTTCGTATTGGTTTTAAAAGATGCTTCCAATCTAACTTATTTTAGGTTACCTGGAGAGCTGCACAGGGGTAGTCCAACGGGGCTATCTTCCATGTTACATCTTGTGGTAGTTTGCACATGAACTGCTACTTTTTAAGCTTGTTTTTGTTTAGAAATTTAAGTAAACATGGATAGGAATGAAGTCTCTGTACAAATGTGTTTTGGAAGTATAACTGATACGGACAGGTCTTTTCATCTGAGTCAAAATTTCATATGTTGTTGGGGATGATGTTTTGTATTATGAAACACCAAAGCACCACAATTGTCTTTAATTTCTTTCCCACCTTCTGTCTCTTCCCAATCCGACACATCTGTCCATAAATCTGTTTCTCTTACATAAATTAAGAGCCACGGCTATCCCTCTTTCAATTTCACTTCCCTTAACTGTGGGGTGCTTAACTATTCTTGGTAGAAAGTCTCCATTTTGGGGCATTTAGGACAGCTACATGTTCTAGCGTTGGCAATTCTAAAGTACAACAGATATTGCAAAAGCTTCTCAACTTCAGTAAACTTCTATCTTTCTTTCACCTCCTTCATCTTAAATCAACGATATGCTGTTAGTTCTTGAGAGAACTGAGTATTTTTTTATAAAACGTTGCTTTCGTTGCCTTCATTATCTTGCTTTAGTTGCCTTCATTATCTTCTCCTTTGAGGAAGATGGTTGTGGTTTCCAATTTTGTGTAGAACACCAATGGAGACTCTAGAGTTGGTTTTTTGATTTATTGTAAAAAAAAAATGCACCATTGAGTGTTTATGTTGGTTGTTGATTTAGTTGGTACGCTTTTTTTATTTTTATTTTTCTTAACTACATTAGTTAGTGTCGTTTGATACTCCTTATCATTTGTCTAATGCTAGCTATTACACCAATGATCTCTTGCTTACTTTATGGAAACCAGTATTTCTTAATATTCAACAGGTTGGAAGCACGGTAAAACAAAGTTTTTCTTTGGGGCTAGACTCTCTTGCATTTACTTGAGGAATGTTGTTGTTCTCTACTTTTGACATCCTTCTTTTTGCAAATATTAGGCATGCTTTTATTATTTATGTTAAAACCCAAACTTCAATTGTTCTTTCAAGTTTAATGCCCTACAACTTAGTAGGATTATATTACCTGTCTACTGTGTGTAACTTATTACTCTGTTAAGTTTGCACTCATGAGTGGAAAAAATTCATGCTATTCTTTGTACATGTTGGTCAATCAGGAAGCATTGCAATTAAACATTTAATTCTCTAGATT